AACAACTAATACACAGAGAAAAAAGATACCATGTAACTGACTAGAAAATTGGGTAAAGCCTTCAAATAAAGAGTCAACTGGAAAGTGCCAGATCTTACAGAATATTTGTGATAAATACTTTTGAAAGCTTGGGACAGAAACATTCCTTTCCTCCTTTAACATTAGGGGAAATGGTCAGATGACAGCTAATAACCCACAAAGAATGTTCTGAACGTATGGAATCTTTACAGGCACAGCTGTATTTAAAATTTATTTTGGAAATAGGACGCATGTGTAATGCCAGAAAGACATTATGGAAAGAAATATATGACTTAGTATAATATATATTCCTACACAACCATTCTGTCTGCTTCTGACACTATCAGTCTATTATTCTTGTTATATCTTTAATTTTCATACATATTTCATTGCATCTGCTTGTCTTGTTGTCAGCAACCTAGACTTAATAATAAGAATAATTTACAGATACACCATTTATTACAGCACTCAGAATTATGACATGGGAAGAATAATGTGACTTCTAGAATGGTCTGTGTGAGCGGCCTTGCTTCCCGTTTGCTCTGCCAGTCATCCTTTGCCTTACAAGACAGCCCTGAAATCGATCAGCCCCGGGTACCAGGCCCGAGGAGCACGCCAGTCAGTAGGGATACGCTGTGAGAAACCGGAAAACACATAATAGTGATAAGTGTTATTCATGCTTGCGATTGAAAAACTAATTTACAAGAGCTCTGTGTCATCATAAAATATCAAAAGACATGAAATAAAATAAATTTTAGCATCAAAATGACACCATACTTCTTCAGCTCTTGAAGTCATCCCTACTTTCAAGATCGTTTCCCCCATTCCTTGTTCCATTTTCTGGTGCCTTCTACTGGATGCATTACTCATGCTACACATCCCCTGTTGTGCTCAGAAAGGCATGACAGGCTGTGCCCAGGATCTCCTAGATTAACATACGTTAGCTTAGCCAGATAAAGTCACTGAAGGGATAATAACTTTGAAGAAAGTTAAGGCTGTATTTGAAGCCTTGGAAAAAGTACGTGAAAATTAGAAATGTTTCTCCTCTGGCTTCTAGGTTTTAACTCCCAGCCACATACTTGCTTGCTTGCTCACCTGGTGCTCTATACCACCAGCCCAGATTTTTTGCTAATTATTTTGAAGAGGGAGTCTCCTAGAGACTTCCCCTCTGGGCTAGCTTCAAATCATGATCCTGTGCATCTCAGCCTTCTGAGGAGCTGGGCTTACAGGTGTGTGGCACCAGGGCCTGACTGGAAGCACTTTGGTGCAGGGTGTCTGGGAAGAGGGAGGGAAGGAGCGGCAGGGCGCAGAGCAGCGGCTTGAAGAGTAAAGTAGAAGGGGCCAGCTCTCTAAAGCCATCATGTAAAATGAGTGTGCTTCATCTGTAGAGTCTAGCAACTTCTCAGACTTTGTATCAAAAGTTCAGTGCCAGCCAAAGTAACTTCTGTGAGGTATATTTACAGTCTTGTATTTTTGTTCAGATCTTGAGTTGGTTTTGTAGGGCATTACTGCACCACTTGGAAAATACAAGTCCTGGATTCCATCCTGCAGTTGCAGACTCTGCATGGAGGGGAATTCCGGGCAGAAGGGATGAGGGGAGTGCTGCATTTTAAAGCTTGTCGGATTCTCTTTGGTGCATCTTCCATCTCTGGTCTCTGATCGGCTGCGATACAGGTTTTTCATTTGGCCTTAACTATCACAAGAAGGTAAGAGTGTGCTGTAAATGTGTATCCTGCAGTGGAGAGGCAGAACTGCTGTGGAATACGCTTCACTTGATGGCATGACTTGAGAAGAGCCAGGCACTGGTGGCTCACTGCCCTACGCCAGCTATGCAGGAGGCTCAGGTCTGAGGACTGGACTTTGAAACCAGCCCAGGCAGGAAAGTACACGAGACTCTTACCTCCAACTCATCAGTAGAGTGCTGAAAGTGGAAATGTGGCTCAAGTGAGAGCACCGGCCTTTAGTAACAAGTAGGGAACAGCTCCCTGGCCTGATGTTCAAGCCCCAGTACTGGCACAAAAAAAGGAAAAGAAAGAAAGATGATAGTAGGTAGGTAGAAGGTAATGATTGCCAGATATTATGAGAAAGAAAAGAAGATTATGCAATTTTGAAATGGTCAATACTTATAAGTATTTATGTAAAATTAGGTATAATTTCATCTAACTCTGAAAATACAGTGCTTTTTTTCTTTTTTCTGAACTCTGGGCCTGGGCGCTGTCCCTCAGCTCTTTAGCTCAAGGCTAGCGCTCTACCACTTGAGCTACAGTGCCACTTGTGGCTTTTTCTGCTTGTGTGGTGCTGAGGAATCGAACCCCGGGCCTCATGAATGCGAGGCAAGCACTCTACCACTGAGCCAACTTCCCAGCCCCTAGCTGTACATTCTTATACCTCAGGCTCCACAGGTCCTGATCTCCTGATGTGTCTGTGTCTTGCCTCAGATTCCCAGAAGGGCTCTTCCCCTCTTGAATGTATGTATTCATTTATTTGTTTGTTTGTTTTGCCAGTCCTGGGGTTTGAACTCAGGGCTGGGCACTGTCCCTGAGTTTCTTTTGCTCAAGGCTAGCGCTCTACCATTGAGCCACCTTCCCAGCCAGAACAGTGCTTTCTTTTAAAAGTAAATCGCAATTGAGTGTACCAAGTTACCAACTCTGATGTTTATTTTTTTTTTTAGTTTTTTTTTATTGTAAAGATACTATACAGAGGGTTACAGTTACATGAGTGAGGTAATGAGTACACTTCCTCTTGAACATTGTT